GGTGGGGGGGGGGGGAAACAAAAAACAAACAAACTATTATTTATAACGTTTTACAATATATATTTCGAGAAGGAATCACGTGCTGCAAGATCCAGGATTGTTTCTTAATCTAAAATTGTCCTTATTTTCTCTGCAGTTGTGTTCTTGCTAAGTGCAAAGGCTGGTGGAGTTGGACTGAATCTGACAGGTGCTTCTCGTTTGATACTGTATGATTCAGACTGGAATCCTGCCACAGACTTGCAGGCTATGTCTCGCATATGGAGGGATGGACAAATGAGATCAGTATATATTTACAGGTATATACATGAAACACAGCATCTCACTCTGTATTTAAAATTGGTCCTTTCATTAAAAATATCAAGATCTTTCTTCCTCAGACTTATAGTCTGTTATTTTAATAGTGCAAATTACTCATTTTTTTTATACATTCTTCTGGAGCTTCCATTAAATGTGGTACTGTTTGTTTACCATATGCTGGCTTGCCTCACAGAGGCCTTGTTCATTCTATGAGTATGTTGATTTTCCCTTGCCAATAATGCCACGAATGGTCCAAACCCAGTTATCACCACCTTCTGACCAACCTTAGTTTTAGTTATTCTGTGTGGCCCCATCACATTATCAGAGGTAGGAAAGAAGGTTTGAGAGAGTGTTATATTAAAAATTTAATTATGTAATTAGTTGTATCTGTTACAATTAATTTGTGCTGAGTTAATTATTTATGAGATTTAAAGTAACAGTTTAATCCTAACAGTAACAAATGCAGGCCAAAGGTACATAAATAATATTTTTGTTTAACAGTCCTGAAAATTATGGGAAATATTTTGCATTTTTCTGAAGGTCTATTATAAATCTTTCTGTTTAGATGTGAGGTCTGCACAAAGCAATTTTTTATGATATCTATGGGGGCCACCTGAGAGAGCTGTGTACTGCACATATTTGTCAGGTCTTTACTACAGGAATCCAGAACTTTTTAACATTAAGTACTGATAACTGTCTGTCATCAGTTTTGCAAAGCATCTGGTACATTTCTCAGTGGAGTGAAGTTTAAATAAGATACTTAAAAAATTTAATTTAGCCTTTAAACAACGTTGCAAGCATGATTTGTACATAACTATCTGTTAAATGTTGCAGACTTTTGACAGCAGGTTCCATTGAGGAGAAGATTTTCCAACGACAGATCAGCAAAACAGGCCTAAGTGGAGCAGTAGTAGACCCACAAAACCAAAGTACAATCCGACTGTCAAATGAAGAACTCAAGGTATGTGACCTTCCCACCTTTGGAAAATATCTTTTAGTAAAAATATGGGAATAAAATGGCTTTCAAGTCAATATCAGTGCTGCTAAAAATGTTACAGTCTTATTACTTGCATAAAAATTTGAAGTGTCAGTGGTAGATTTGAAGACACCCTCCCCTCTTATAGGCCAAGTTCCATTGTGAAATGGATGAGTTGAAGACATAGACAAATTATATTTTATTTTTGTTCCAGGATTTGTTCACATTTCATCATGATAGTGCATGCATGACACATGAAATGTTGGGCTGCCAGTGTGCTGGAGTTGGACTTGTTCCACCTCATGAAGTGGAGAGGAACCATAATGTTACTGAAGATAACAGGGATGAGCTGTCAAACCAGCGTGATTGCCAACTGCAGATTGCTCAGCCATTGGCTACCAACACTTGTGTCCGCATGAACCAGTTGTTTCGCTGGCAACATTACTCGCAGCCTATTAGTGCTACAGTACTGCAAGTAAGAGTCATTGAGTCTGTGGGCTCATGTTCTGTTTACTTCTTTGATTAATTTTTGGAACTGTATCAACTGTTGAAGTCATGTATTTTTGTCAGATGTGATATGATGGGATAATTGTGAATGATGAATTGGAGGAGTTATATTAAGGTATAACCCCCATAATATTCGCTTAGTTTCAGGGTATCTGTTACAGCCTGCTACATTTATTCAGTGAAATTATTTTCATATTCTGTACTCTTTGGAGTTTTTGCTTATTAACATATTTAGTACCAGGTCATCTGCTGCTGGATTACCTTTCCACCTAACTGTTTGTAACAGTACACTGACATTTTCCTGTATTACACAGTAAAGAATTAATAGGATTCGATTGATCATTCAAGAAGTCATGAAAGGTAGCATGCACCATCTAGGAAGAGAAGGGTAAAACTGTGCTCAGTGTGTGTTCTGAAAGAGACATATTTTTTTCTTCTCATAGAATGTTGCTGTCCAACCAAGTTTGAATATGGCAGTCTGGACAAACCATCTGTAAATTACTGTACTCAGATATGGGAATGAATGTGTTAAATTACGCAAAACTTGCATAAAATTTGTGTGGTGGCATGTTGCAAAGACACTACTGGGAGGACAAGTGCTATTAGAATTTACAATGTTTAATCCTTTGCCAGCCTAGAATGCACCACATCTGTAGTGTTTTTTTATACTTGCATATTTTACAGGAATTGGGTCTGAGTGCTGCATCACACAATGTCACATTCATATTTCGAAATGTGACGATCTAATCACAGGCAGTAAGGCTGACATTATTATGACATCATACTGCAGTAAAGATGTTCACAACAACTGCATAAGAAGCAAGTTCCATAGAAACTATGACTTTAAATGGTGATAAAGCTGTGTGCTGTACACATGTACTATTTTAAATGCCTTAAGTGCTTTATCAGTTAATTTTATTTGTTGCTATTTACTTATATATTATTAACACATTACAAAATAAAACAAGTTAGAAATTAATGCATAGCATAACAGTTACAGCATGTTTCCTTTCTTATTGCCTCATATATTCCATTCATGATCTACAAACTGAATAGTCATTCTTGATGCTTCCAACAGGAGGATTATGAGGTGGTCCTTGAAAATTATTACAAAATGTTTCAGTGTCCTTGAAGTTCAATGTTTCCATTTCAAATTAGCTACCTTTTGTGTGGATGGGGCATTACCACTATCTCCATGAACAGTTCTCCTCTTTACCTGTCTCATTTGTCTTTCTTCATTGCTATTTTCACTCTTACTCTTCGATAATGCTACAGACATGTCAGAAATCTTGGAGACTACAGTGTCTCATATTTGCTTTGTTCGCATCCACTGTCTGAGATGTAGAAGCTGTGGCCTTGATCTTAATGCTGAACTGTAGCTAGTATAGACAGGCTTTGATCTTAGGGTCAGTGTCATTGTTATAGTTTATGAATTCCTGGATTGAGATAATGTACAATGCACAAGCTAGGAGAGAGTTCTAGGAAGTTTATCACTACATCCAAACTTAAGTCCTCTACCAGTAGGTAGCATACAAATAAGCATTCAGATTGAGGACATTTCTGAGTGTTTATCTAAGTTTAAGGGTGTAAAGTCTCATGCACTGTAAAGTAAGAGGTTTAATTGGTATAAAACATAAGAATAACATTAATGTATCAAGAATTTATTAAAAACGAACTTTCTTTTTATTGAGTCTGAAGTTTCAATAATGCTAATATCAAACCCTACCACTGTCACCGTGTTAGTTCCATCTACTTTCTATCTCGTTTTAGTCACCCAAGCTGTTGCCCTTTCAAAGGTTTGCCACTCTAAAATCAGTATGGATTCCTCGTCTCCCCATTCTAGTTACATGTTTTGTAGATTTCACAGTTATAACAACGTGATCTGCATAAACCACGATGTTCCTTATTATTTCTTATCTTATATTGGCCCCTTGACTTCATCTCTCAGGTCAAAATACCTTCCTGAGCACTTTTTATTTATTTGTAGTTTAATGATACTGTCAGTAGCTCACAATACTGTATATAGTATTAATCTTTAGTGTATTAAGGTCTTAAGAAATAATGGAGACAAAATGAAGAAAATATTCTTTATTATAATGCTTTCACAGTTTTGTGATATACATTAAATGCATCCTTACACAGATTAACATGCAATTAATAACAAATATAGCATATCTTAACCCTTCAGTACAGAGGGGCATGCTATACACATTATGACACATATGTGTGTCACAAAATAATGTGGCCTATATGTCCGTTGCAGTCTGTCTTATTCTGCTGTGATGTCTGTAAATTTGTAACCCTCATGAACAAAGAAGTATATTAAAGAATACATGAAAATCCAGGCTTTCATCAAAATTTTGGCAGTCAAGTTAGAACACATCCAGTACTGTGTTCCAACGAGATGGTATACTGCTTCACTTTCATAAGGTCACAATATTCCTGAACAAGTAGTTGTTTCATCATTGGATTGGTCAAGTGGGTTCATTTTCTTTCTGCTGCTTTCACCTGATCTAACCCTATTAATTCTTTCTGTGGTTCTGTATCAAGAATAAAGCTTATATTTTCCATTGCCAGAAACCTTCGACAATTTAAAGGAAATAAAAAGAAATTCCATTGGAAGATTCTGTTGTGATATGCTTCAAAATACGTGGCAAGGAACAAAATACTGCTTTGAAAGATACAGAGCCTTAAATGGAGCATGCATTGAACTACCATAAGTTAAAAAAAGTATACTACTTCTTCATTCATGTGGTCTTATTTTCAATTTATCTGTTATATCATAAAATATGACTGAAGTCATTCAGATCATTTGTAATCACCCTCCACAATGTGATGTTTATACATACTACAAATTTTCACCAGAATTAAAAAGAACCTTACCAATTATAATTACAATCAGAACTGCCTAAGACATGGTTCACGACATAAATGTTACCTTCTAATCAATATAAATATTTTAGTTTTTAAATCAGTCAGGTCAAAATCACATCTTAACATATCTGTGAAGCAATTCTAAAAATGGAAACTTCTTTGTTTGAAATTACTATATACTCCAACTAACACCATGGACCAAGAGTCCTCCTTGGGAAGCTAATAATCACACAGTCAAGAAATTCCCTTCCTTTTATGGAACCACAAGGTGTGTTCACAAGACTCTGCCACCAGTCCCTATCCTGGATCCATTTTAACATTATGCACCCGTCTATGATTAGGACAATTATCCACCTCATAAAAACTTAAACTTAACCCTTTCTATGCTGGTTTTTGCTTAATTCTATTCACAGCTTCAACATTTAGAGATGGCAGGAGATGCTTCTTTTCACTTGTCTCAAACAAATTCATTTCCTAGGTTTAGTGTTTTTAAGCAACATAACTTGTGGATAGAATGGAAATTGTTTTATTCTTTGCTGCAGTACATTAAAACAACTGCTTCAGGAAAGATAACTAACCACAATGCAGAATGTAGTTCTCAGCCATTTCAACACTTACACTACTTTCTCTTGGATGTTTTGATATCTCTGTCTGGCTGATAAGTACTTGTGTTAAGTTTATTTCATAAGACAATCTGACCAGATATGTTTATATATAAAATAACCACAGCCTCAAAATGATACACAGTGTGATGTTTACAGTAAAATGTAGTACCAAATACACGACTCCAAAATCACAAATAACATTGTGAAACCTTACTAATTCAAATCAAGGACACTATAAGAAACTAAAGAGTTCTACTTCCTACTGAATTTACTAAACTGAAATTTATCCTAATTATAAGTTGTGATGCTTGTGTAAATACATGGCATATAATGTATAATTACATGTATGAGATGAAAAAAACTGTTTCTGCTCCAAAATCAGTTGAAACTGACTGGCCACTTTTCATTATAATTGCAGAAATACTTCTATAAGAAATTATTTCAGAGCATGAAGTTCAGACTAGCACCAACAGCAAAGTGGCATGTTGGTAATGTCAGCTTTGGAGTGTAAGAGGTTAAGAAAGATTAACCTTGCTTATTCATTCTCCTAATTGTCTTAGAAATATTTTATATTGCATATTTGTCACAGTCTTGATAAAACAAGGTGCATCATGTTTCAGAGACTTGCTCTCTATGCTTCAATCTGTAAGGGCAGTTAGATAATTCTAATTCTTATAACTATATAATTTTTATAAAGAAATGAACTTACAAAGGAAATAGTCCCAAGACCCCATCATATTTGTATCTTGTATAATAATTTTTGTTTGAAAGTTTTGCTGTGTCTACATTTTACTCCTCCTGTTCAAGATCTGAAACACGGCAGTTATGCATTCTTCAGAGTGCATCCTCTCTCCAAGCTCCTTGCATTCTGCTTCATTAGCTTTGTGAAGCTCTTCACTGATTTGTGCACGAATCAGGTGTTTTGAACACATCATTGACTAAAACAGAGGCAAAGAAGAGGAGAATATTTGGACCTAAGAAAGATGACATAATATAAGAATGTGTTGGGTCAGGCATATAGCATGCATGGGATCATGATATATGCCTATAAATATTAGTTGGTTGATCACAGGAGAAGAGACCACTTGGGAGACTAAGAAATCTTATAGAAATAGGTTGAAAAGTTAAATGGTTTAGGATATGACCCAGTAACAGGCTTTTATGAAGTAGATAATGAATCTCTAGATTCCATAAGTGCAGGAAATTCCAATAGGGTTCAAGGAAGGCCTTGCCATCGCATTAACTAAAAATAATAAACTACCATAAAATTAATAAAATCATTAGTTTCAGATTATTGAAGATGTAGAAAGTGCAGCAATATGTACATAAAGTTTATTTGGCTGTAACCTTATGTTTTGAAATAATTCTAGCAGTACCTGCTTTGGCATTTGCACAAATTGCTCCAATTTAGACCACACTTGTTGTTCAAATGTGGTGTGGGGGAACACCTGTGAAACTAAACCACATTCCTTTGCATCATTAGCACCCATCTGATGTCCAAAGAATATCATCTCACTCGCCTGTAATGAAAAACCACCCAATCAATACCAGTTTCATTCAGGCACATGTAAAGTATAAATTTAATAATTCCTTTTCACTTCCTTCCTCACAAATTTATCTCATAAATCAAAGAAGTTAAGATGACCTGGATATCAAGTTTAAGTGGTAAATAAATACACGCAGAATTTTTACATAAAGCAGCCATAATGACAAACTTCATTATACAATTAATCTAGTATTGGTATGATGGTTAAATCAAGGTAACAGTGAGTAGGATCTGTACTTATAGTTAGGATGGGGGAGAGGAAACCTGTTGGAAAATGACTATTTGGAAGGCCACAAAGAAGAGGAAAGTTAATCTTAAATTGGATCTTAGAGAATATAGATTGTGAAGATGGGAGATACATTGAACTGGCTTGAATTGATGTCCAATGGTACTGCTTGGTATTAACGATGTTAAAAAGTTCAGATTTCATTACCATAGAGTTCATTTTGACTCCTTACTAACAGGCAAATCAAGTGATGTAGTATTTTCAGTTTATCCAAAATTTATGAAGAAACAGATACCTGCAGAAAATAATGGCATACACACCTTACTTATTCCCATAATCCGAGGAAATGTGTATGATGAACAACCCTCTGCTACAAGCCCAAGTTTTGTAAATGGTGTCTGAAAATAAGCCTGAAACAAAATTGTGACAATAAAATCATTCCTCATATAGTTTTACTTTTCTTAATTTCCTTATTTAAGTGGTGCATTTTAGGTGAAAAGGATAAAAGCTATTCTTGCTTTTATGTTGCAAAATCTTAGTATGTAAACATATTCAATAGGAAGGCTAAGGCACACCTATTCTGCAAATATAACTGATGCAAACCGAAGGAGTGGCATAATTTAAAAATGTCACAGCTTCTATATGTATATCATTTCTCTCAAAGTCTGGAAGTACCCTAATTTCAGTTATTTTTTAAACTATAGTCTGTGCCTCATTATGATTCTTTGATGTATGTTTGAGTCTTGACTTGTGTACCTGGTACATCATTTATGAATATCCTTGTGCTTATTAGGAAGGCACTTCAATTACCATTTTAGACAGTCTTCAGGGTCTTTGGGTTGAGGTTTTTGAACATTTCCACCAGAAACATCTCCAGTTGAGATGTATGACTTGTTGCTATTCATGTGTTGTTTTTTCTCTTCTTTTAATACGAGGGGGGCTTCCAGCAATAAATATAGACATGGAAGATGGAAAAGAGGCATACATCTAAAATATATAATGCATATAAAATTTCACAAACTAACAACTCAATTTATACTCTATACCAGTATCATGATAAATAGCAGCTATTGTAAATTTCAATATACACTTTATAGAATGGTAATATTGTGACACATATGATAATGTGAGAATACTAAAAGCTTTTACAACTTCTAATATTCTTTCATTAGTTTATATTTTTTATTTACTAGTAAGTACATATGTCAAACCAAAATCTGTCTGAAAGAGTAAAAATAAAATGTGTTTACTTCTGCTACATGACACTTGCTTTCCTAAAAAGAGTGAATGTGAAGTCTGCAGTTATACCCACAGTTCTTCTGAAAAATACAGAGAGCAATAGGCAACAGTACCTTATCTGATGCATAAACCACATCACAAAGACCCAATGTTGTCACAGCTATTCCATATGCAGGCCCATTAACCACAGCTACAAGGATCTTGGGATAATCAATTAATGCAGATACAAAGTTCCTGAAAGAGTGATTCAGAATTAGTTAAATCAGTGCATAGTCTGTGTCTGACAGAGCAGAACACTCTTTATTCATCATCCATACCGAATTCGATTGCAGCTTTCCTTTGTTGATTCAATAATGTCACCATCAGCAATAAATTTTGTTGCATTTGTTAAGTCATTTCCGCTACTGTAGAAGTCTCCTGCACCAGTCAAAGCTGTTATCACTATTCTGTCATCCACTGCAGCCTCATTAAGCAGCCTTGCAAGCCCATCATACATCTGGAGCAGTTTTCAGATAATTTAATATTAACAGTCTACTTCCAAAATACTAGACTTAATACACATAAATCAATCATTTCACCACTTGTTTTGTATGGTTGTGATCTCTTAGTTTGAGAGAGAAACATAAATTCCAAGTATCTGAAAAAAACTGGCAAGAAAAATTTGTGCACCTAAGTGAGATGAAGTAAGAGGAATGGAGGATATTGCAGCATAAGGAATTATGTTATTTATAATTTTCATAGTATTATAAAGGATGATGTGATGCATACAAAATTTTGGCAAAAGAACCTGGAGGATATGACCACCTGGAAAACCAGGGAGATGGAAGGATAATATTGAAACTGATTGTGGAGAAGTAAATTATAAGAATATGAATTGCATTGAACTGTCTGAAGAAAGAATCAATTATAGACTTCAGTCTTAGTAGTGTTGGGTTTTCAGGCTCTGTTATTTAGACCAGTGTTTCTCAACCTATGGTATGTGTACCACAGGTGGTACATGAGCCAATGTTGAATGGTTGAACTAAGTAAGAAAATCAAAAGTTAATATTTACATAAATAAGAGTTTTCCCCGAATGCATTTGGTTAGTGGTACATTTAATATGTTAAATTAGAAGTATGACAGCAAAAAAGGTAGAGAACCCCTGATTTAGACCATGCAAAGAAACTGAGCAGAAGGAGTTGTAGGAAAATTGAGAAGGAGAGGCCTGGCTGTCAGATGATCCACTTAAAATGGAAATGTCTTAGGAACACAACGAAAAGGATGATGATGTATTACTAGCTGTACCCATATAATTTGCAGAAAGGTGTTGATACATGCTTATAATGAAGCATTCCAGCAACATTCTTTTTAATAATGTATTTCATACCATTGGCTACCACAACTAGCTATTGAAACCATGTTTTTCATTTAACTGGTGACATGTTTTAATGAAAAGTATGATCATTAGGACAGTCTTAACTAATGTAATGTCCAAACATTTTCATCTGTAAACTCAGGTTAAATGGATCTATTTATAGGTAAATATAATCTCAATTTTTGTAAATTCAAGGAATTCTACGGTGTAAATAGGATCATTTGTTACATAGCACCATACAGAATGTGGATATATTTTAAAATCCTTTTATGTGAAATTGATATTTTGTAAAAATTATATTTCTGATGAAATTTCTGTCTGGCTGAGGGGGGAGGCACCCTCAATATACATTATATGAAAGTTATATTACTGTTGTGACTATTGGGTGTGTGATATATCTGTAATTATAATCCTTATGTTATTACAAGTTTTTGGGTGCATATGTGCTTCCATAGAACAATGTGAGTTTTGAGGTAGTTTATTTACATGACTGTGATGATGTCTGGTACCTACCTGGGTATATATTGTGTATTGCCTAATGTAAAAATATGCTGCCATCTGTTTACATACACAATTTAGCACTAGCTGCATGTCATTATAAACTTATTCATTTTGATATTGTACAATACCTGTGCAGTAAATGAATTTTTCTTGCTGGGCCTGTTGAACTTTATTATGTGAAGACCTTTTCGAATTGTGACTTCTAACTCTTCAAGCATTTGTGTTTCCATTCTTTCAGTACTTATCTATTTTGCAAGCAGTGGTTGCCTATAATGGTAAGTAATAATGATGAATTAAAATGAATACACATACATAAAATATATGGGAATCACTTCTACTCACACCATGCATTCCTTCCATGCTGTTTTATAAAGGAAAGAAGATATGGTTTATTCACCGATCAGCCATGTGAAGCTGCTTGTAACCCGAGTCTTTTATCAGTCTTCCTCTCGTCCATATTATATTGTATTTTGGAAAACTGATATTTTTTCACTGTCCTGACAAAGTACATTTGCCGTGTAGAGCTAACCGAATTAAAAATTTGATGTCACGTTTTGAATCCCCGCTCAAAATCGGACACGAAACGCCATGTTTCTTAACGTCGGGAAAGGTCATGGCAGTAAACAACTTACTTTACGTTTAATAACTCGGTGTGAAATCGTATTTGTTATATTCAGTTCTGTTTCAGTATGTGGTTAAAAGCTCATACTATACTGATGTTCAAGGAAGTGCATTTATAACGGGACAAAACAGAAGTAGAAACCAAATTTACCTTAATACTTCACATCCACACTTATTACAAGCATCTCATCCTAACCGGAAATACGGCGTCATGGGTTAGCGGAACAAATAATGCGCATGCGCAATGGAACATTCACACTCTGAGCAAAACAGGTTGGCGTTTATTAAGTTTTGTGGCTTTTAATTGTTGTCCCGAGGTGAAATACTGATTGAATATAGATGTATATTTTCTGTATCTCTTCGAGACATATTTGGAAGCCGGTACTGTGCAAAAGGTAGGATAATATCATGGGTTTTAGATAGGTTTTCGCACCTCCGTGATGTGGGTACAGTTTGCGTTTGTGTTTTTAAAAACGTATCTTCGTGTTTCTGAACTTTGTGGTTTTTAAATGTCATGAGATATTTGTTTCAACATATAATTTCTGAAGTCTTCAAGTATTTGTGTGCATAGTAAGGTTTCCTAAGAAATTGCTTTTTATTTTCTTAATTGGTGGCGATGGTCAAAATATTAGTGTTCAGTTATCATCCTTCAGCAAACATCGAATAACGGAGTTAAGGTCATGGACCTACATTGCTGAAATTATGTGAAAATATGTAGAACAGATTTGTGTAAAGCATTAAGCATGTAATTTACATGTTGGTTTATCAATGAAGGTTAAGTATCGACTTACTTTTTATAATGACTTATGTTTTGACGTTACGTTAGCATCATGATTTTGTAGTTGGGTGAATTTTGTAATTAGTGAAATTTGAGATACTTCATGATAACAGACTGGCTACAGACAAGGTGATCAGAGTTGTGTTCCTGGCAGAGGAATGGATGTTGCTGTTTATCATAATATGCAGTTTGGCTCTGTGGCCCACATAACATTGTATACAGTGAGTTCTGGAGACTCTTTCTTTTGGGCTACAGTAGACTGAGCATAAGGCTGTTTATCCAGTGCTGAGGTTATGTTTAACTTTGCCACATCTTTCCATTTACGCCTTCGTAATGTGACAAAATACAGCTGTAACTTTAACTTTATTTGATATGTGTGCTACGTGTTAAGCTCAGTCAAATACTGTAGTTTTCTTTAATTCATAATTTACATACCTTTTAATCATTTCGTCCATGTATGTATTTAAATATTTTTCAGGTCATCTGGGGGAAGAAAGTCTCTTCATTGTGAAACATCATGAATTGCCTCCACATAAGTCATACAGTATTATAAGACTGAAAAGAAACAATGATTGTGCCTTGTGAGGAATGAGTGCCTTCCTTTTGGCTGTACAGAAACTTTTCATTATGTTGTACAAGTTTATGTATGTAACTGTACAATTATGGTTTGTACTAACAAGCTCTTAAAACTAAAGAGTGAAGTACCTGACATAAACATAGAGTGTAAGGAAAATGGATATATGTGCCAGTAATGGAGTAGACAGTGAACAAATTGTGGAATCCATTGGAAGTGCTAAATTAGATCAAGACGTGGATTCAGTCACCACCAGGGAGGGTGAATTGTTGAATGAAGTAACAGTTCCAACAGAGGGGGAAGTGGTTCAGGAATTTGTTGTACTAAACAGCCCACGTGTAAAGCCTCTTGCAGCTGCTCCAAGAATGCCCCAGCAGTCTGTTCCGAGAAATACAACACAAGAAGAAGCTGCAGGTGTGCCATCGTCTGTACCAACACCCAGTTTTGCCATTCCACCCCACCTGATGGGGCGTAATGTTGACAACCCTACTGAGGACATGATTGGCAGTGGGCGCAAGCTTCAGAAACCTCGCCTTGGAGTTCGTGTACCATATCGTAATTTGACAAGTCAGATTGTGACTCAGGATGAAATTGCTCAGGAATTACTGGAACGTTCACTGAAGAAACATCCTGTTCATGACACACCGGAGGGGGGAGATTTGTTCTTTGCCATGAAACTTACACAGCGTTTGGCAAATCGTTTGTCACCATCTGCAGCAGTCAGTTCAGGTGTTGGTGGGCATGATATCGAGACAATTGCTAGCAAATCTGGGCAGTTCCAGCAGAGTGCAGATGCTAATTGCTTACTTCCTCCTGGCTACACCTTGGTACCTGAATCAACAACCATTCCTGATCATGGAGAACTCCTTGCAATATTAGAAGGAGATGCAGATCCAGATTGGATGCCAGATACTAATCCACCAACTCTTGAGGAAGTGGTTAAACCAGTATCTCTGGTTGACTCTAGCAGACCACCAGCAATGGCAGAGGTTGGATCTAATGTGGATCATATTTCTGTACATACTATCCCACCAAAACTTGATCCATTAGTTGAAAGGGAAATGGCACTTAAACAGCTTATGGAATTACCAATACGGACTAAGAAAAAGAAAACAGAACCGAATACAAAACGTGCAAAAACAACACAGAAAAGTAGAGAACGTGGAAAGAAAGAATCACAGAGCAAGAAAGATGAGTCAAATTCAGTTACAGTACAAATTAATCCACAAGATTCTGAGAACAACAACAGAGCTGCAGTGAATGGTAATCCTAAAGTTGAGATTGACTCGACTCGGAAACAGAAACAAGTTCGAAAAAGGAAACTTACCAGTGTGGGAGATGTAAATATAAAGCGACCAAATATAGCTAAGAAGAAAAAGGCAGACACTTCTGCAAGTCAGTCGGTAGTGATTACTGGCAGTAAAAAGAGTGCTAAGAAACCAAAATTTGCAAGAGCTGTAACAACAAAAAAACAAACAGCAGCTAAGAATTCTCTTTTAAATAATGGTGTTACTGGAAACAGTGCAGTTGGCATAGCTCCTAAACGAAGAAAAGTCACTACTCCCAGTGCAGTTTTGGGTGTGGTTAGTCTGCACAGATCTGTACCTGGGACTTCAGCTCAGAATGCACAGGAATCTGCTGACAGTAACCTGTTAGATAAGAATTCTGATGATGAATTTTCAGAATCATTGCTTATGCATTCTAGGAAGTTTGCAACACCTCCAAGAACATACAGTCCAAGGAAGAGAGTTGTCAAACCTGGCAGTGATCTTTCATCTTCACCTAAAAAGAATGCTGTAGCAGCAATTCTTGTTAAAGAAATAGGAATTACTTTATCTCAGTGTACACCAAATTCTTCCACAGAACCTGGTGGAGGATCCAAATCTAGCACTCCTGGTAGTTTATCTTCCAAACTTAAAACATTACCTTCAACGAGTACTGAAGGTTTGCCCTCCAAAGTGGTTGGGGGTTCAACTCCTAAAGTCATTGAGGGACTGGTAACAAAGAATGTACAGAGTCCATCAAAAAGCACTGTTGGCTTAATATCTGGCAGTGAGGAAGCTTTGAGTTCAAAACCAGGTGGAAGTGTGTCTGGGGGTGTGGTTATTACACCACATTCAGCAAAGAGAAATGTTAATGTGTCTTCTGGCCAAGTGAGCAGTGAGTCAAAAAGGAAAAGAATGAGAGAAATTGACCGTTTACTTATGGATGAAGGTGCAATAAATTTGCTCTATGAAGTAGAGCAAGGAGAATCAAAACGCCGCAGTGGACCACAAGAAGGTGTTTTGAGCAGTCCAAAACGTAAGATGCGATCTCCGTTGAAGTCTGTGCGTCGGCAGAAGAAGGATCTCCAGTTAAAAACCCGCCTTGTTAAGAACGCAGTGCTTAGGCTTAGCAGTGTAACACCATCTCCATCGACAGCTGTTGCATTGCGTGGAAGAAGGCAGATTGGTCCCCCTACCCTCCAGTTAGCAACAAGTCAAAACCCATACCGATTACTTCAACGAAAGAAGTCTCTTGATTCAAGAGAATCCATTCGTTCCCCTCCTCCTCTGACTCCAGTTGATCCACCTTCACCTTCCCAGTCCTTTTCATTTCCACCAAGGTTGCATCTGCCAGCAGAGGCTTCCAGAATCATACGCAGGCATTCCTCAAGCAGTACATTCTCCAGTCGCAGCACCAGTCCCAATTTGCAACATCGTAACAGTGTTGATTCTGTCCAGTCACCTGAAAATTTTGAAAACAAACCTGACAATCATGATGTGCAAGCTGGAAACAGTGTTCCTGTTCCATGTGGCTCCAAGAGTTCTTCAGAATTAGATGATAAGAAGCGGGCTGAAGTGCGTAAGAAAGGTGTTCCAATATTTGTTAGGAAACAAGAAACTACCCAGACTTACAAAGGGAAGAAAAAGGATCCTAGTGGCAGTGACACAGAAAGTTTTAACCTTAGCGAAAATGCTGAAAGACTCTTGGAAATGAAATGCAAAGAACTTAAAATCCATCACAGAACTAATGCAGACATAAATAAGAAAGCACCTACAAATGTGGATCTTAAGAAGAAAGTTCTGGTGAGTTCTTCACAGTTGGGTGGAGCACACAAGAAAATCAGTTGTGCAGTCAGAATGAAGATAAAAACTCAAATGACAAAAAATTTCCAAAGAGGGGTCCAAAAAGGAAAATCGGTTCAATTTAAAAAGTCAGTTTCAATGGGTAAACTTAAGAAAAAGGATGTGAAGGAGAGAGTGGATGCCGTGGAAATGGAGATGCCAGATTTAACATCGTGCTTGGCTGCCGTGGCTACTGAATTTGCAACTGGTGGGGAAAATATCAAGAAAGTGACACATTTGAGGAGGAGTTCTCATGATTCCTCACCAGGTTCCAGTCCTGGCTCCAAGAGCCCATCTTCTAATCAACAATATCCACATCTCAGGAAAGAAGCAAAAGAAGTTCCTCCTCCACTTAGCCCTAATGCTTCAAGTAAGTTGACATTTCCTACCCTTGTGGGCAAACTTTTGCATAGGAGTCTCAAGCTGTTTCTGTCTGCCAGTTTTTACATTTCATGTACCCTACCTCAGTCTCATCATCTTCTCTCTACAGCTCTCTTAACTTTGTCTGGCCATGATATGTGTGGTCTGCCCTTGGGTCCTCTTCCACTCACCTTTATTTTCAAAAATATTTTCAGTATAAAGTGTATACCTGTTCTTCTCACATGTCCAGACCATTTCAGTCTCTGACTTTTCTTGATTTGTTTCTCTATTTTCCTTGTCTAATGAAAATATTTCATATTCTTTCTATCCTAGTTTTTCCACTATTCCCCTCAGGAACTTCCTCTCAACTACTTGTAGTTTACTTTCCACTTAGTAAATGTCCATGGTCTGCTGCATATAATAGTATGTTTTTAAATGCACATAATATTGTAATTTTACATTTTCTGTGTATATCTTTATTCCATAGTAAACTCTTATTTATCAGTCATAGCCTTAACCTACAAACTCCATAATACAGGATACTCCTTGGGTGTCTAATTGTTTCTCAGCTGAGCTGGTCAAGAAATTTCCTGCTTTTATAGAAATCTGTGCCCATTAGACAATATTTTGAGCTGTTTTAATACAGTTTACATTCTGCTAAACTTATTTCTACAATTTTTATAATATCCTTCCATTTGTGCTTAGGTCTCAAGCAATCTCTTTTCCTTGAAAGTTTCACAGAGTTGTGTGGTGTTAGATCGGATCAGAGGAAAGGGAATTCAGTTTAGGTATCTCTTTCTCAGCTTACAGATGTATTCTAGATGGGAAAAGGCACTGTTTTGCTAAACCGTTTGAAACAGCTAGGGGAATGGCTAATTGCAGTCAATAATAATAATCCGTGGTGTAACAGCCCTCTGAGAGCCAAAGCCGACTAGCTGACTGCTGTCCTCACGTTCATATGTCTAAGTAGAGGTGAACGACCATCCAACCAGATATAGGGTGACGTGTGGTCAGCGCGAAGAATTGCAGTCAATGGAACTTTAAAATATCAGTGATGGTTTCATATCAGACACGTTATTCATGGAATGAAATACTGTAGTCCAGAGATTCTTTCTTTTCAACCAACTTATGTGCTTTGTGCAGCTCATGTCCATTTCTGTACGTTGTATAACCCTGTACAATGAAAAATAAGTTTTATAAAATAAGACTGCGTAAGTTAAATATTTATGTAATTTCAAGTGAGTAGTCTCTAAAAGTAACAGAAACAAATTGTTAAAGAAAACGATTAATATGTGAACACTGCTGTGTGACAATAGATTTCTCACGTGCTTAACAAGAGGGAACTTTACCATCAGAAGTGAACACATTCTTAAAATCACAAACATATTGATATAAATGGGAACTGGCATTAGTTTTTACATTTAACATTCTTGTAAACTGGTATAAACCACTTCACCACAATTCAGTAGTGCAATGTTGTGAACAAGTGTTGTGAAGATTTTTAGCAGCTAATTCTTAGCACCCAATAGCAGTAGTTATAATTACCCTCCTGATTTCGTTATTGCCCCCCAGAAACACAGATGGGTGATTTATCATTTGTCATCAAGTATCAGTTTACTCTTCAATTGCTGGAACGCAGGGTGGGGGTTCATGTCAAAACAAAGAAAGGTATTTACTGGATGACAGTGTCATTTAACTCAGTGTACTGATAACATGTTGCAGAGATGTGTGAAATATTCATTACCCATTCTAGGAGAGATATATATATATATATATATATGTGTGTGTGTGTGTGTGTCCCAAAATATTTGTTTGTGGAAATATATTTTTGGTCAAAAAACCCTGTGTATAAGCAACTATCGTAGTACAATTATATTGATTTTTGTCAGCCTAAACAGCTGCAAAGAAAATGTTCTTTAATGCAGAAATTTGTTCCCCAGTAATGACCCTGAAGATCATAATCTGCACCTAATTTTATGTTATTCGGATGCTAAAGTAAATTATGTTGTGAATGTATGCATGTACAATGCTAGAATAATTTTGAAACAAAATGCATCTTAAAGAAATGGGGTGTTAGGATGTTGACTGAATTCATTTGGCTCATAAAGGGGGTTAAATATTGATCACTTTGATCGTGAAAGGCAGCAAACAAATCTTTTAAAATGTCTTAATAATATTTTCCCATTTATTTCCATTGTTATGATTTGTTTTTTGTTAGAAAGTTTCTTGGTTACTTTAGCTACTATCAGCTTCTCAAGGACTTGGTCCATTGAATTAATTAGTATGTTTTCTTGTGGGCATTACTTCCAATGATGCCACTTCTGTAGTCAAATATCCTGTTTCTCTTGTCTCATATAGTACTTTTTTTAGTATATGTGCCCTGTCCTTTGCATTGCCTATGCCATATTATCTTTAAATTAAACAATGGGAATAATTCTAATAAACCAGATGGTACCTTTGTGGAGTAGGAATAGCAGAAACAGATGTAAGCTGTTTGATACAAATTATCATTATATGTATAAGGTTATTCAACGCTGGTTAAAACATTGGAAACTGAGAGCCAGAAACAGAAAAGGAAAGAAGAGGAGGGTCAGAAGCAGAGGTCAAGCGTTCGACAGAATGCAGGAACATATCACTACAAGGAGATCTGTCTTCGTCGCTATGACAACCTTGTCCAGATCATCCTTACTCCAGCATCTACCAAAATGAAGAACTCCCTTAACCTTCAGGTATGGAAAATTGACTGTTGTTAGGGAACCTAAAGGTTCATTATTATGTTGACAAAGACTCACAATTTGAACCTTCTGTAAGTCAGGCTTATTAACCCTTTCGTACCTTACCTCTCTAAGATCTATTTTAACATTTTTCTCCCATATATGCATAGATGTTTTACCAATTCTCTGCCCGTGAAGGTTTTTCAGCCAAAATTTGTATGCTTGTCTTGTATAATTCAGTTGTAAAGGGTTCTGACGATGGTGGATTACACTTAAAATTATTTGCTGTCTGGACTTTTTCCATGGTCTTTGTTTAAAAGAAACCACAACGTTTTAGAAACTGGCTTGTTTACGTCATGCATATGATGTGTCCTATCCATCTGATTGAGATGTTTCATGCTTACCATTTATGAATTTTCTGAGTTGTCAAATAGTTTGCTATTTATTATGATGGGGCTATATTAGGACATTGAATTGACAGGTCCTTCGTGAGCTGCGAGAAGTTCTAAGTCAATTGAAGCGAGATGAGGGATGTCGAGTAGTTTTGCTGACATCAGCAGGGAACTCATTTTGTCAGGGTATTGATTTCCATAGTCTCCTGCACACAAATGCTGACAAACGGAGGACTGCTGCTCAAGATTTGGCACAAGCGCTTAAGTAAGTTATGATGAATCTGGGCCACATCATCATCATCATCATCCTTATTTCTTTAAGAGCCATTGTAATATTATCTTCCCATCTGTGCATAAATCCTGAAGTGGTCTCCTTCCTTCAGGTTTTGTGACTAAGATTTTGTATGAATATCTCATCTCTGCCATGAACCAAATTTTAAAATATCTCTAGTTTAAAGCAGAGTTCCACAACTGTTTTTCACTCACAGCATGCCCTAATTTGTTAAAGACATGATGGCACAACACAGAATTTTGCCTCATAAAACGTGAGTGTGAAACTATAAGAATGCAGGCAAATGAAAACAAAATATTTACACATTAAATAAACTATCAATGATGAATTAGTGTGTGTGCACCTATGTGTGTATATTAAGAATTTTAATTATGCAAGATAAGATGTTGCCTTTTTGTAACTATTATGTGCAAATATACAATTTTGTAGCATGCCTGAAACTTTGTGGTGGTACACTAGTTACAGAACACTGGTATAAAGTTTAGAAAAATTCAGATTTATAGAGTAATTGGTAGGCAGTGAAACATAGACATAAGTAGGAATAGACTCTCAACAAATTTAATTGAATACAATGCAGTAATCAAGAACAGTAACCAACACAACAGGACCCCACTCTTTGTTAAGCTAGGTTCCTGAAAAATAATTTTTATAAAAGACTTACACTTTTTTATAAGATTCAACTAGAGTGCAAGTTTTTTTTAGCACCCTGGTATTGTATATCTAAACTCACAACCAATCCAAAGAAATCTAGTTTCAGAAGCAAGAAAAATACCAACAGACCAAAGCCCCATTTCCATCAGGGTAAGTTCAAGCTTTGGAAGTGTGCAAAGAATTGTTAGGGCAGTGTCTCAACTTGTATTTCTCTCTCTCTCTGCACACAACACTCCTTTAAGCGGCCAATCCACGTACGAGTCTGGCTTGGGTTCCATTGAGCCAAACTTGTTTGTGGGTGGGGTGTCACGAGCCGAGTCTGCTAGGCATGTGTGGTGAAATATATCCGAGCCCAGCTCACGAGTCAAGCTCGCCAAGCCAGACTAGCAAGTCAGACTCGTACGTGGATGGGCCGCTTTAGTCCTGTCGGTCATCACAGAAAATGTACAGGACCATCCAGTACTGACTGAGCTAGGACTGACCAGATTATATGATACCTGGTTAACAGGATTTAAATTAGTGAGGTTTTTCTGTACTAAGTTTGATATTTCCACTGTTACATACCAATTGGATGGGTAATATTGGAAATATGAAAGAGTCCTTAATATCATGGAGAGCTTAATCAACAAAACAATGTATATCAATTGGTGAGAATAATTTAAGATATAGAAAGCCAACACATATCAGGATTGTGATGATATGGCATTGGGTGCTTGACATTAAAATAATTGGTATATAGTTTGTTTTCATGTGGAAACTTTCCTTTCATTTGATAATGATTGTAATGACTGTTGCCCTCAGGGAGTTCGTGAAGAGCCTTGCCTTGTTCAGCAAGCCTCTTGTGGCAGGAGTCCACGGAGCAGCTGTGGGACTAGGAGTCACAATACTTCCATTCTTTGACATGGTTTTTGCAAGTGACAAAGCTACATTTTACACACCTTATGCCAAAATAGGCCAAATTCCTGAGGGGGCAGCCGTATTAACACTGCCACACATGCTGGGGAATGCTGTGGTGAGTGTAAATGCATGTGTAGATTACCATTCTGAAGAATGCATTATGCCCTTTTTGCACTTTCTTCCTCTTGCTCACTCCTCAAGTACTGTCAGATCTTGTGTGCCTACTTCTGTGGTGGCCAGGCTTATCACCTTATTTTATCTGCTGCTAATTTTACTTCTCAGTAACAGATTTTAAAGCAGACATGCTCAACCAGAAATTAAGTTATCCCTGTATTGCCGTGCACATTTGCTGTATGTTAATGATGTCTGAATTTATGCAAACTATTGGTCTTTGTGTTATATGTGGAAACAGTTATCCTTTATGTGTCTACTGTTCCTGGATTCTTGACATTCCTAATTTATTATGTAGATTATTTGTCAACGCTCTCAAGATGATAATTTTTGGAATTTTTACCTTATATTAACATATGTAAAGAGCCAGACAGCAAACAACAATTCTGTTTCTTATCATGCACACAGTAGTTTCTCTTGTGCTGTTCAGTCTTTACAAAAACACTGCACAGTTCTTGGACAGCCTTTAGCACTAGGCTTAAATTTAACATGTTTAGAATAAAATATAGAAATGGGACACCTTGTCTGTTTTGTTATTGCATCTTCCCAAGACTAATACAGTTTTCTTGTTTTTAGACAGTCCCAATTCTTTGTAATTGTGGAAGACTAAATAGTAAATAGTCTGTCACATACAAAATTTGGTCACCTGAAGACAAGTAGAACCAACTTCCACAATGTTCTGATTTTAATTTTAAAAATGTGCTCAGATGATGTGTGAAGTCTGACACAATTATGCACACATTCAGCAGACATGTTTTGGTATTCTTAATCATAGTGATGATTTTGATGCAGTTTGTGTTGGATGATTTGTGTGATGAGCTGTTTCCTCATGTAGACAAGTGAGCTACTGTTCGGATGCCGGAAGCTGACTGCTAGTGAGGCCCTTCATTTTGGCCTGGTTACACGAATCTTGTGGCCAGACAAGTTCCAGGAGGAACTAATCCCCATCATTCGCAGCATGGCCTGTCAGTCTGCTCAGGTGAGTCATTAAATTGCTATTATCTTAGGTTGCCAAGAAGAGTCAGGTTCTTTTTGTGTGTTACCTAAAGTAACAAGACATCACACTAGTTGGCCAGTAAGCATCAATACCACAACACTATCTGTTGTTTAATCTTGAAGGAAATATGTGCTTCAAGTGGAGATCACCTGTCCCTCTGCTTACCAGTTGTAGCAATGTAACAATGAAATCCCTTCTACCAAATCTGATGTCTGAAGTTCTGCCACTAGATCGGGGCATAATATAGGCTGTTTTAAGTATCGTAATACAGTAGTTCATTGTGTAGTCACAGGCACAAAAATGGGAAATTTTAATGCTATGTATGTTCTGTAAGTTGACTCTTTTTAGTGGCTACCATGGACAGATTTCACAGTACTTCCTCATAGGTCCAAATAATCTCATCTCTCCTCTTTGATGTATTCTTCCCTCAGAACCAGAGACCAAGTTTTTTATCCATATATAAACATGTAAAGTTGTATAATTGTATTTATTTTTTCATTACAGTTTAAGGTATAGTGTGAAAATCATCAGTTTGTAGGTTCAGTTTTAATTCTGTCATATGTTTAAGCCATAACATTATGAAAGCAATCTGTTTTGATTCACAGTATGGATCTATACAATACATTTCTTAAAAGTCTTGTAGCAGATTGACCATAGAAAATGCCCAGGTCTGCTTCAGTTGGGAGAACAAATTGCCCTGTATGCTGAACCTGTATACAGAAATTCTGAAACATTGTATGTCTCATGATTTTTCTGTAGACACAAGAGACCATGAGGACAGGAACACTGATAGTATGTAAAGTAATAGTCAGCACGCATGTTGCCACAGAACTCCTTCACATTGCATTTATGTAGCTGAAACATAATAGGACATTGGTATATGAGACAGCCAGTACACTCATCATTGCATTTACTTGAGTATTTTTTTCAAGCTTCATTGATATCAGTTAAGCCTAAATCAAAAACCTGCCTTTATCAGAAATGTCATTAGTCTTGGGACTATAGAGTGAAAACCAATATAAATCAGTCTCAATTAAATGGAAACATTTAACACAAAAAAGAACAATGATTTAGTGTAAAATAGTTTGCTCTTCTTCTTGTTTTTTAAAGGGAACATTCCTGGCATAAGCAGGAAAGAATTAAGACTTGACTGTCAACAAAAGTATATGCAGTATGCTACAGATTGATGGAAGATAAAGGAACAAAGAAAGTAAAAAAGAAATTGAAAATATATATTGTTTAGTAACAACGTAGGTTACTATGTAGCATGAGTTTCTGATTTGTAATTTGACTCATAAATAATGGGAGCTTGTAGGGCCTTCTATGCATTATTTTTGCTTAGAAATACCTATATTAAACAGAAAATTAGGGGCCATATCATACCTTTTTAAGACAGTTGCTGTTAGAATTGAGATCTGAAACTCATTGCAAATAAAAATGAGTTAGCTCTGCAGAAAAATTGAAAATCCTGTGTTTGCATTTGTTCTAATTGCAATACAACTTTTGTGTTGTACTTTTTGCATTAAATGAGAAAGGAAATGGAAAAGAACAATGATTTTTTGCACCAGTCTCTGCCTGAAAAAAGTAAATTCTTGAATTTACAGAAAATAAAATAACTGGTTTATATGCTTTGATTACCTTCATGCATTTGTATGTGGTGCGTTTGTAGGTAGTACCATTCTCAAATTTATTGCCAGAGTGCTGATGGAACTTCCAGTAGTGATTAGGTGGACAGTTGCATGCAGCCAGAATGGATGTATGTATTGTTTCTTTTGAGAGTGACGGTGTTGCAGTTTGTGTCATCACTGTTATGGCGTAACTTTTTGCTGAACACTGTGGTAATTCTGATACTGCTTGGCAAAACTGAAACAAAGTACAAATTGAAACTACTCTGGTAATAGAAATTTAAAGTTTGATATCAGTTTTCTTTTAAGGGATACATCCTGTTGTGTGTTGAACATTACGTTGACAGTCCATCTACACAACAATTCTTGATTATGGTTTCAATTTTTGTTAAGAATTCACTACATGTTTGGACTGAAATTGGTTATTGTCAGGCAGTTCTCTTTAAGTGTTTGAAACTAATAGGTATGACTGCTAATTTTTATACATATTTTCTGTTGTTGACTGCACCATGCATTGGACTGTGTCTTAAACAGCTTACCTATTTTAGTAGATTGGACTATGTAAGTATAGTTACTGGTGGAAAGCTGTAGCTGAACTCTACAGTTTGACATCAGTAGTACTAAAGCTTGTGTTTGGACACAGACCCAAACCAGTTGAATCCACATGTGGTTTCAGGTTTTCATATTGGTGGAAATTTGGATTATGACCTTCTGGGTTATGTTATATAGTCTTGTAGGTTGTTACCAGTATTTGAGGAACTTACTACCTCCATCTTAAAGGTAGGAATGAATCAAGCCAGAATATGGATTGGCAGTAGCCAAACACAGCATAAACCTTGGCCATTGTGACCAGTTACAGGCCGTAGTATCCTGGACAAAAGAATCAACACATGGACCAGATATTAAGGAAGCAATAGAGATTGAGCTTTATGCCAGTATTATAAACATGGAAGGGTGGTTTATCCCTGAGCAGGTTGTGAAAGCCTCTCATTCACACACTGAAGGAATGAAAGAAGAATTTATGAAAGGACAAGGCTTGCACTTCATCATGGCCATCTTCCACTCGTACTTCATAAAGAACTTTTTTTGAGATTTTCTCTTTCAGGGCCACTCCTGTTTTCTCCATTTCCCATTGGCTACCTTCTGTATAACCACCCCATGGCCAAGTTTGAGTAATTTCAAACATGAAAATGGAGGATATATTCCTCAGAATGTTGAATCACCTACAAGATTAATCTGTTTTATATTGTTAAAACTTACATTAAGATTCATCTTGATATTATCAGCCCATCTGTCTGGGTCTGGTCTCCCAAATAGTCCCTTTCCTTGATATCTGTTAGAAATTTTATATGCATTTGTTTTTCTTTCCAAATGATGTACATTTTCTTCGCCTTTATTCTTGTTTCAAATCACTCTAGAGCAAAGGATTTCTCTTCTATCTGTGACCAGTGGGTACTTGGGGTCTTTTTCCCAAGGGTAAAGTATGGCTGGGGCATGACAGTGATCACACAACCACATATAATGTTAAGAACGAATAGGACATATACCTCTGCACCCCACTCCCCCATTTTTCTCTGTGGTGTGTTGTGGGACAGCTTAACTTTATACTAAACAATATTGTATAAAGAGTACAACTTGGGAAGCTCTCATGTTTGTCACTGTTACATCCTCAGCACATTGTTCTCAAAAATCCTGTTCTGATAGGGGGAACAATCATTTCACACCCTTGTAAAAACAGGTAAAATTGATTTTAAGTATTTAGAAACAGATTGGTAATCAGTATGATTTCAGTTTGTTGCTGTCGTTCCCAAGTACTTGACCTTTGCTCCATTTCCAAAGGATTTATCAGCAGTTCTAATATTGCAATTTTGTCCTATATTCTGGTGATAAGATATGAACATACACTTTGTTTGTCTGTGTTTGCTTCTAAACCAACTTATTTGGCATTCTATGTTTTAGCCTCCTTTAATATGTAAGGAAAGATTATTAACTTTTAAACCAACTGATGGATTTTCATGTTCACTAGACAATATTCCATCTTTGTACTTTTGAATTTCCTATGGGTATTTCTAACTTTTTGAGAAGAGTAAATTTTAAAAGAGCAGAGTGGGGTACATATGAAAACTATATTTAGACTCTGATTTGACGGTGATAACTGATGAACCATTCACTTCAGCTATGCATATAAAATTCTTTATGGTAATATGTCAGAAACATACCTTCAGATGTTGTGTGGAATATTTATGTGTTAAGAACTGCAAACTTGTTGACAGCAAAACTTTGTGGTAACATGCAGAAGGGATCAATGATAGTAGACATTTTCCCAGACATCAGTTACATAGTTCTATGGTCATTAATTTATATGCCTTGCTATTCATGACTAAAACATTCTAAGGAAAGTAAGTTAATAAATTCTTCCCAAAACTGCTTGTTTTTTATGGTATTTACATTTTTGCATAACACATTATTACTACAACGATACTATACTATAGCAATAATTTACTTTGAGTTGTGAACGGTTGTTGAGGGTCATTGTGTAATTATCCCGTTTGCTGCTCCATTCCATAGGACACTCAGATCTGTGGGGGCAGCGACACACTCTCTCTATTCGCATACGGAACCAGAAGCGCCGATACAGAACACTGCATACAGCGTTAGATTTGCACACTGCTAATCCTCTTTCACTATGAGCCTGAAAACCATGACATAGGAATCTTTATTATTATGTACTTTGAATCAGAGAGACCCATGTCTCATAAACCCAGAATTAAAAGGCATTTTTACGAATAGTGCTCCCAACACTATTGTATTATTTTGTGACCGAATTCGTTGATTCTTTGTTTATTTGAAATGTTTCCAGCTGCCTATGTTATATAACATTGACTAGTAGGATGATTTATAAATAATGAACTGCAGAGGATGGAAAAGAAAATGGTAATGGTCTATTTTGAGGTATTCTAGTGTTTGCCTCAAGGAAGTTGGAAACCTCAGATTTTCCATCCTGTTGGCTGAGGTTTGGATATGTTCTCCCAAGTATGAAGCAGAACCTCTCATTCATGGCATTTGCTAACTGAATAGGCTTTGATAGAATTTGGTAAAGGAAATTGCACGTAAAGTTGTAAAACAAATCAATCTGTTGGTGTTGTCAGCAAAGGTAAAAATTAAGATTGTGCCTGTTTTGTGTGAACTGTTTGAATGTGATGAATGCAAGAAGCATATTGATGAATTTATACCATTAATATTTAAGGATCTTGATGTTTGTGATTAACCGGTTAGTTAAAAATGAAGGTAACTAAATATGAGTATATCTGTGGAACAAAGTTCTTGGTAAGTTGTTTTTCCAGTGGTCAAGAGATATCATGCCCATTTTGTCCTTGATTTTATCAGCTGAATAATATTTGATGAAAAGAGCAAGTTATGCAAGCCCTTATTTTGCACTTTTGCCATTCTCTTTCTTGGAGTCAAAATATTCTCCTCAGCACTCTGCTAACAAGCTCCCACAATCTTATCTCAATGTGAGAGACCAAATTTCACATCCATACAATATAGAGTTCATTTTCTTTACTTCATCCCTTATGTTGAAATCAAAGTATCCCCAGCAAATCTGATGGATCACTTCCCAGAGTAGTGTCCTGAATACATATTATTGTTTTTAGTTACAACAATTATTGACAGTAAATGACATTATCCATAGAATGCAATATAAAGATTAAAGTTCTGATTCTGTATGTGTTATTATTGGGTACAAGAATATAAAAGGTTATGAAATGAGTGACTGGATGTGGTTCTCAATTTAATCTGATTCTTACTTTTTCATTAATATCGTTCTTATTACTGATTATTGTTTCCAAGTTCCAGGATGAATATGCAAGATGTGGTTTAAGGTATTATTCCAGAAATTGACTGACTGATACTGAAATGAATATGGTGATGACTGCTGTATGATTTGGACACCCCTTTTCTGTTGTTTCTGTTCATTGAAATGTCTTGACCTTGACCTTAAATAAAGATAGAGGAAGCCTTGCTCCTAATAGGACAACTTGTGTCTTGATTAAGAATGATAAAGCAGTGAGCTTCAATTAATTAGTTATTAATGAAGTGCCTTCTCTGAAACTGAGACATATGTAAGATTTTTCCAGTGAATGCTGTGTTTTTTTTTTTATTACACTATGTGGACCATAGAATTTATATAGGACCAAACTGGAAGTGGCAGATGATTAAAATGGTGAGTTGCAATGGACTGTGAAGAAAGCCATCATTGCCTGAAGCAGTGGTTCTTAATCTTTGTCATCTCAGCCTTGTCTTATCTAAAATCCTTTTTGAAAATTTAAGAAGAGGAAGCCTTGAGGTTGATTAATTCCCTCATCCAGGGAGTCCTATCATTTGTCTAAGAATTAATTTTTTAGGATGAATTCTTAAGTGAAACAGGCCAAAGGGTCTATTCCATTAAAACCAAGGAAAAATATTGATGATGACAATAACACATAAAATATAAATGAGCATATGGGCAAAGTCCAACTATGTGAATTCTCATGTGCTTCTTTTTCATGTATATGCACAACTCTTAGCTGACAAGCATTATTTTATGGACAGTCAGCAATAAATTGCCATTGTGTATAAAGAATCTAGTTTTTTTTAGACAAAACTGGTTTTGGTACAGGATGCTTTGCACCCCTCTTTGACCACCTGTTATCCTCATATCCCTCTAAGTTGTTGCACCTTACGCAGTAAGTACCAAGGGTCTGGAGGGGCTCAGAGAAACCTCAGGATAACTGGCTTCTCAGGCAGAAATATGAACCAGTGACCTAAAACAGGAGTGACAGCCTCTGCACCTCAGTGTTCAGCGTATTGTTCGTACCTGAGGAGGGTAGACAATGTCCACCAGATCTGACTTCCTGTTCATACTGAAGATCTGCTGTGATGGTTGCAGCACAGCTGTTAGTAGAAATAGCCATGATAGAACTGCAGCTTGTATCCACATGCTTATGCTAGGGGCTTCACGTACTGACTGAAATGCCTTACCCCACCCATGGACTTGCACTTCCTACACTTATCTGTATCAATTATAATTAACATTTCTTTGAAATGTGAAAGGAAACTAAGAGTTTCATGCAGAACTCTGAAACTTGGGTTGTAGCATTCTGGTATGTATTAATTGTACATACATAAAAAACATTCACTTTTAAACAACTTAACCATTGATGTTGTTTATAGTTATAATGCTATTTCACTGGAATCGGCATCTTTTTAAAATGTGGTACCTTTATTCTGGTTAAAATGTGTAAAAGGAAGTTGTGTGAGAATCTTTCCTATTAGACAGGCTTCCACTCCTACATGTATTGTGTTTGGTGTTATATATAGGTAATGCAGTAATAAAATACAATTTTGCTGATAGCTGAGTAGGTGGTCATAGGTTTGAACTATACTCAATTCCATATTTGTTATTGCTTGCATTTGCAGTGTATCTCAGATTACTATCATCATCATCTTTTCAATATGAACTTGTTACTTGACTATGATGACATTAAATTTGTTAGATGTAATCTTCAAGTTTGACACTGTCATCATTTATAATTGTTGACTTATAAAGAGTTTTTGATTTATAATTTCTAAGTATGTTTGCAATATACCTTCATACCACATGTCATATCCTTGGCTCTAGATTCTTTAGTTGTCACTATCAAACTTAAGGCTACATCAGGATTGTCACATAGCTGCCATGTTGTTTTACAGTCCATAAACTATTCCTATAAAAGTTGGAGGTCTCTGACCATATGTAATTTCAGGATCTTAACACTGAGGTGGTGCTAGTTTTGCTCCCACCTTACAAGTTCATGCACCTACCATGTGATTATTATTGATTTCGGAAAATTTAAAAGATGTGAAGTTGTGTGTCCTCCTATAAGATAAATTTTATACCAAGTTTAATGCAAATTTTAATTTATTTAAAGCTTTGTGAGGGGTGACACACACAAGCCTGTTCTATCAAGAAAGTAAGATAAAATATCTTTTCCAATTAAGGAGTGTAAAATATGGTACAGTGTATTCCTTGAGCAGTTCATAGTTTTTCTGCTTGTGTATAAATTTCCTGTTACTTAACTCAGATGTTCATAATCATCATCATCATCTCAAATGCCTACCATTGGCTCATATCCTAAGCCACATTCTCATTTACATAAAATTGTCTGTTTCTTCGTCAACCATTTTAAAATTACCTTAACCTTAATTCCTGTCAAAATTTGTACTGTCATAAGGAATCATGAACTACTTGTACTATTTTATAAATTCTTATCATCATTTATTTAAATTATTAAGTTTTCTTTCCCAGTTAATGTCATACAATGAAGTATTCTGCTATTGTTAAAGTTGTGTTGAATGAAAATGTCAGCCAATTATGCATGAAGTAACAGAAGAATTTAAAGCATTATATAATGAGGAACCATATTGTTTCTTCTTTTCACGTAATGTTACGGTGATTAGTTCAAGATATGTTATCCTCTTTCATCCCTCACATTAGCTTTATTCTAAAATTATGTGTATATTTCTCATGCACCATTTATGTTACAGTCCATGGAAGCAACCAAAGCCCTCCTACGACATACCTTGCGGGCAAAGCTAGAAGCAGTGTTGGATTCAGAAGTGCCCCTTCTAGTGCAACACTGGATTAGTTCAGAATGTCAGACAAATTTTCGCCATTTTCTGGATGATGAAGACATTGGTTTACAACGTCAAAGATTGGACCCTTGACCTCCAAATTAACAGAAGAGGCTGTTGAGGTAGTTGTTCAGTGCCAGCGTGTAGTTTTACTTCACTGAAGGAATAATTTTTAAGGAAAGGGGAAGTTACTTTTACAATCTTTTGACTATCACTGTACAAATTTTTTATGGTGTCTTACTATGACACTGCAATAAAAGTATCAAAAGAATTCTTTAGATACCACTTTTTAAATTCCTTCTCATTCCACCCAATATAAGGGTAATATATTTTCTTTCAATGCTGAAGGATTCATTAAGTGATGCTCAAAAAGTTTGTCATGAGTATGTTGTTTTGTTCCATCACAGTTTTGAATTTTTAACAAGCTGTATCTCAGCTGTCCAAGTGACTGTACTTGCTAGAAGTGCTAAGAAGTTTGCTTGACTGTGTTCTGAGCTCTTTGCTTCACTCAGTGACCTGACATTCACTTTTGTACTGAAGGTGATTTATTGGTTTTAGTCAACCAGTAACCATTCTCAGACTGTCAATAGCTTGTCATTAGCACTTCAAATGTTATGTGAGTGGGAGCAGTGAGTAGTCCACTGATTACAAAATGGTATAAAAGGAACAGTTTTCATCTGTCCTAATCATAAATAGGATTGTGCTCTTTAGTCTGCCAGCTTGTTGACACTGTTTATTGTCTTGTCTTTTATGGACACCTGTGCTTGTTTTCAATAGTTTGGAAAAGGAAGAACAGTGAAAATTATTTTCATAATCAGAAGGTAGTTTTAAGGAAGATTATACAGCTGTTAGCAGTTGACCAATTGTGAACTAATTATATTATATTTCTTTAGGCATGAAATGTGCTGTAAATGAATTTGTCAGCATTGTGATGGCAATACACGTTGTCCCATCCATTTTCATATGTAAGGAAAGAAGGTGGTGTTATCAAATGTTTCTTAAGTATTTATTTAGGGGGAAATTTGTAGCATACTAAAATATGTATTGTTATGCATCAACAGGTGTTGCCAAATGTAATACACTACTGTTCATAATCTATGGTATTTGTATTCACTGTCTTCTTTTGTACAGCAGACAGAAGTATGATTATCAAAATACACTTACATTTTTAGAATAGTCTTTCCAAATAATTTTCATGTCATTTCCAAATTTTATTGTACTCAATTTTAAATTATGTAGAAAGTATTCATATGAAATAACATTTTTTTATTGTATCATGAATTGACCAATGTTTTATTTTAGATTCAAATCTAAATCACTGTTTAGATGTGTGTTTTATTTCAAATATGAAATGTAAATATCTTGGCATTTATTTTATTTACATATCAATGAAATGTTGAGAGATTTACTTTTAATCAGATTTAACTGTGAAACAAAGCAGGTACATTATCAATTTGATCTTCTTGGCATACAGTGAGATGCACTTAAAAGAAGAGCTAGTAATGAAATATGAACTATATTTAAGTTTGTATTAATGATGGAATGTGATCACTAAAGCTTAAACTGTAGTTTCTTCAACTGTTCAAACTGGAGATACAAGAAATGTCAGAAAGTGTATATTAACCCTTCCACTTGTGTCAACATTCCAGATGCAAAATCATTTGGCATTTTATTAGACCATACACTTAATACCAGCTGATTATTGAATGTGGAATACAGACATGTTCAGAAGAATGAAAGCTATCATTATGAACTTCAACACTGACATAGTGTAACACTGACGAACAGACAGCAGTGATGTAGATGCATTTCCACCCATTAAAACAACATACCAGTAAAGTGAATTACATGGCATAAGACCATAGGCTGAAATAATTTTAGCACATTTATTTTTCTGGGAAAGCTTCTAATGTTACTTAAAATTAGTTACCTTTTCATGCTATGTGAAACTGCTAAGAAATTCCCTTTTTGTATTTTTGGAACTACACTGTTTATATATTACACTCTTCAGTTACTTTTAAAAGTCAAGTATACACTGAAATGAATGTGGTTTGTTATAATGTATAATTTTAAAAAGATGTGAATGCTGGTGGAAGTATAAATTTATTTTGGAATATTAAAGCAACAGAAAGATGCTCTGTCAGGTTACAGACTTTACTGTTATGATTGGAGAGCATCATGGCCAGTAGTTTTCTCATTTGATGGTGTATAACCTGTATAAAATATTACATTGTTGTTAACTCTTTGAAGCCAATGCTTGTCTAAATAATAAAATACTTAGTCCTTACCTCAAAGAAAACAACACTTCACTATTACAAAGATCAGGTGGTTAATGCTATTTAAGGAAATAATTTCTGTTTGCTATGAGGATCACATGAAACCCAAAATACACTGTGTGGGCAAAATGCAGAGTTACTGATTATTAAAGCAGTTGGTACACGTAGTTGCCATTGGACTTTAAAGAGCTAACTAAACCAAGAAACAAACATATAATTGCAGTTCTGTGACAGGAAAATAAAAACTCAATCTCTTTGAACACTTTATTAATATTTTCTGTGTCATTCTTATTGAGGATTAAAGATATGGTAACAAAATTTTAGTAAATCCTCATGCTCACAAGTAATTTAAAATATCAGTATTGAACTTGAATTGTTAAAAGCATTTGTATTTCTGTACCTTTTCCATTAAAATTAATTATTTTCACAAAATTATCATAAATTTCTTATGTAATGTACTAGCTGTACATGGATTAGGCAGGTTATTGTCACTACTGGGAAATATCTTCATATATATTGTACAAATTAAAAATGAAACTTAGGTGGTTACATACTTGGCACTTCCACTGCTACAATTTTTGTGCACTGACATTTGTTACCCGAGTCCTTTTCATAAGATTTTCTAATTGTAGCAGGAAAAATATTGTATTTTCAGAATTGACATGAAGAGCAAAAGGACAAACAAAATTAATTTTCTCAGGGTTGACAGTTTTTTAGAATGTCATAGAAAGAAAATAATAATGATATTCCTTGAATTTCTATGGTTCTGAGTGCATCCTGGATATTTGCTATGTCTTAACTTAGCCTGATGTTATGTTGAAGTATTAGAAGTTTTCACAGTTGTGTGAGTTTAGTTTTCTCCTTCATTGAAGGCCAATATAGTTGTCTGGTTATACACCAACATTGTGGCAAGGAGGCAGTATGTTCCTTTAAAACATTTGTATACATCCAGAAAACTACATGGCACAACTGCCCAGAACACCTTAAACCAAACCCAGTGTATAGTTCTTCCTTATTTGTACTGCAACATATTTTATATTCATCTTGGTTTCTTGTTTTTCCTCACAAGTAAACTACAAAAATTGTCTTAATAGAGTAAAACCTACTTATAACATAAATACAGGGAACCTGAACATTATTTATTTTTCAGACAGTAACACAGGTGCTTTCAAATAGAAAATATCACTCTGTACATAGCCCATGTATTTATGATTCAGATAAGTCATATTAGTGCCACACACACTACACTGTTATTACTAATCATTTTCAACTTTCAGTTTTCTTCTCTTTTTTTTATCTCTTGTTTGTGTATTTAGTAGATAATAAGCATTTTGCATATATTGCCAATAGTCAGGCTTAACTGTTGTCCATTTATGACAGGAATGTTCCTTCATAGATAAATTCCAGGAAGCACAGAACAGAGTTATATGAACAGAAAATAATATTTATAAGGCCAGTAGTATTTTCCAGTAAAATCATTTTTCCATTTAATCCAGGTTGTTTTTCAAACATGTTTTACTGTTTCTCATTAAATTTTTCAGTGTGTACTCTTTGTAGTTTGGTGCTCATTTTGTTACTTGTCTGTGTCATAGTCCAATATTTTGACAATCATGTTTGTATTTTACGTAGTTGTCCTGTTAGACACGTGTTACTTTTCATCTGGTATGTTTGATACTACTTCCTTGTCGTGCCTTTTAGTCAACTGTGAAACAAGATTTAAAAATAAACGTTAGTATTTAAAGAGTAAATTTCTCCATGTTAGATGGCCATTTAATATATTGACTGAGTACTGTATATCAGTAATTAATTCTGACTTGTTAACCCTTCTAGTGTCAACTCGGGCACATACTTTTGTGTGTTGTCTACACTGCTTTATACCAAGCATATACACATACAGTGTAGCTATAATATTAATCCCTGTTCTAAAATAAGAGCAGTCATTCTAGTCTCTCTGCAAAAATATCAGAAAGGAACAGTGATTCCAAGTGAGCCAATACAGTAACATGAAAGAGGTATCAAAGTGGAGGAACAGCAGTAAAACTTTAAAGCTAAGCTTTGTTATTAGTCAAGTGTTGTCACTTGCATTTGAACAGGAAAAGGGGGGGGGGCAGAGTAACTGTTCATATAGCAACATGCCATTAAAACCACAAAGGATTGTTTCTGCCTTCCTTTGTATGTACTGACAGGTGCAAAGGTTAATTTTTGTCATGGCACAATGCAGGCAACTGTTCTCTCAGTTTATATGAGGCTCTTTCAAATGGAATCTGTTCAGGGATTTTTTTGGGCAAAGAATATATAAAGAATAGTCTCCATAGGTGTTGAGGTAGGCCAGACATGTGTAAAGGAGATTTCAGGTTGTCATGGCCATGAGTATGAAGATGACAGTCTTTCAGGATTTTGTGCCATATAATCTCATAGAAATTGAATGACATTTCAGAGGTGCTTACTGTCTTTATCTTCACCCTGGTGATAGAGGCAGTAAGCACCCCTGAAATGTTGGTCAGTTTCTACAAGACTACATGGTGCAACATCCCAGTAGACCATCATCTTCATGTGACAGTGACAGGTCTGGTCTGTATGGGGGGATAGTCCATTGCATGGAGTGTGGCATGTCCTAGATAGTGCAAGCCACGTGTGGATGGGTATTGTTGTGAAACACAATGATGCCTTTCATTAGCATGTCCAGATACTTTCTCTTGATGGCAGTACATAGATCTTGGATGGCTCTATAATAGTGCTGTAACCACCTATACTAGTCTATCTGTTATCAACCCAAAAGACCGTGATTTACATTCCTATTGAATTATTTGCCTTCTTTTGCTCTGTCACTTGTTCATGGTTAGAACAAAGGGAATTGAACATATGTATGGTATCTTCCAAGTCCTCTTGCCATACACTTTATACTGTAGTATAAGCAGATTTCAACAAAAGGATGGACAGTTCCATTCAAGCCAGATACTAATGGTCCAGCAAGTTACTTAAAATAACTTTACTTCAGGATGTCTTTCTAAACATTAGCTTAATGCTCATGTATGATAGGCTGTAGCTCAGTGACTAATTTAGCATTTATAGGCAAGCCAGTCAGTAAAGAGACTGTTGTCTCAGTAACTGGAGTTCAATTCCAGGAAGGATAGGAAAATCATCAGCATATCCTGACCAACTCTGGTACACACTCATACTCCTTCCCAATCAATGAGTACCAGCAGACTTTCACAGGGTAAAGTGGCCGGAGCATGTTGGAATATAAAATATGCATACAAACAAAAGGTTTTAGATTCAGAACATGTTGCTTACCACTCACCTCCATCTTATGCTGGGATTGTTAAAACTGTACAACATTAACTTATAGTTCAATAAAGGGGATAAAGAAATGCTTGTCATAAATTATATTAGAAAATATAATTTCTATTTTTTACATTGTGATATGTAAAATAATGTAAACATTTGTGAAAAGTATGTTCTAGTTCAGATTATGGATGGGCAGTAACTACTGGTTCTGATACTGAACAATATACATTTAAACAGTGATGTGAATTATTTTGTGTTCTGCAGAAATGTAATCAGTGATGTGAGAATTATTTGTTTATTATATGTAATTACTTTGCTTCAAGGTTCCACTTTTGAACTTGTCCCTTTTTGGAACATTACAACTACATTATGAAAGTGTTGCTCATAATTACAAACTTTTGTTGCTGCTTTTGTTGTGTGTGAGAGAGTGTGATTGACACATTCATTTGGGTCAAAATATTATCCACAATTAATTACTTCATTTATTAAAACATAGTCATAATGTTGCTTTCTTATTTATTGTGTATATTTTTACTTTGTTAGCACATAATTCCACAGTCCATCTTATGAGCTCTCATATCGCATGAGAATACAAGAAATCATTGTGGTTTCTTAAAATGATTATTTCAACCAGTGTGGGAAAAATGACAAAATTATTGAATTAATTGTATGGACCACAGAGCTAATGAATAATAAATACAATTCAGAATTTCTGTTTCTGTTTTTGTCAATGAGAGAGTAACATATAGAAGTGAGAAGCTTGAATAGTAGCTTTGCATCCTCGAGTTGTTATTACTGTACACCTTTGAAAAATAGTAAGAACATTCAGTATTTTGGGCAACAAGCCACTGAACAAAGTAACACAAAGCTGAAGATATTTTGAGGTGTTATGATGCAGACCCAAATACTAGTACAGAGAAAATTTAAAGATTTGCTGTTTTGCATGTAACCTCATTCAGACCCAAGACATCCATATTAATTAAAACCAGGCCACAGATGATTACCATCCGATAATAGGTCCAGATTTTGTAATTGAAATGAATATCCTCATTAATCATTATTTTGGAATACGTGGTGATGCTGGTCTTTGGGTAGAAAAGTTTTGTACCATCGCTTCGGTCGAACTAGGGGCAAGGATGGTGAGCCACCGTATTCGGACATTATATTCAATGAAAAGACATAGATGGCACTACAGGGTAGCAAGAGCCTATTTTTTACATGTATCTGTAATTTAATTCAACGATAGTGAATATAATTAAGTTACCTTTAAAGCTATGTTAACGTAAAGAAATATAACCTAAATATTGCGACAGATTACATCGTAACCTATCGTGGCGTTGAGTAATGGTAGTGGACGGCAATAACAGCGGAGGAAGCTTCGGCAGCTCGCTGGTAGTGTGCCATGTTCTAGCATTGCTTATAATTGTGTAATATTTTATATAATGATTCTCTTGCAAAGATTTAATTTGTCTCAGAGTTGACCTGAAGGTAAAGAAAGTTGCTGTCTAAAAATACGCTCAGTTTGTGGTCTAATCAAAATGGCGACCGCGGAAAGACGTTTGAAGTTTTGATGTAAATTTTTAAACGTTAATTTCTGCAAACTCATCTTACAACTTTGGGTTAATTTTGGCGTTGTAGTAACTCTAATTAGATTATGACATTACGATAGCTTTAAATTTTACTCATAGTGTCCTATTATTTGTGTTTCTGTCAGTGCATCAATTATGAAGGAGGTGATTTTGGCAATTTTTTCGTTTGTTTCATCGCTGTTTCTAGTGTTGGTCCTAGTATGCCTAGGTGAGAATGCAGCTTCTGCTCGTTTTACTTTTTCGCACATATCGACATGTACACTTGTTTGCTAATATTGATGGGAGGTACACAAAATGGTAGGAGGGAATATTGCAAGTGAACAGACAAATATGAGTTTATTCTGTAGATATTACATACCATAATTTTCGCAACGTTCGTTCTTTTTAATCTTTATTTCATTTTTACTCATTCTGGAAGAAACCCAACTATTTTTAAACCAGCTTGCAGTCTTTGAAATGTAGCTTTAAGACAATTGCTAGTTTCTCTTTAAATTCCTTATTTCTACAATACAGGCCACTTGTTATAATACCTGTGGCATGCAAAGGTAATACAGTTCATTATTTGACAAGTACAAGTAGATGAATTTGTGGTTATAAAGGATTAAATTATTTGAAACAGTGACTTAAATGCAAACTCATATTTTTCTCTATTTATATTAATTAAACTTAAAGAAAATTTTAATTTGTGCTGTCAGTATTATTGATACCTTTGCATAAGCAAAGCTTCACATGAATAGGATAAGTAAATCAACGAGAAATAGATAGGATGTGTAGTATTTGGGAATATGGAGAGTATTTAAAATATTGGTCAGATAACCTCTAGGGCAGGGGTTCTCAACCTTTTTTGCTGGCATACCACTAATTCTATTTTAACACATTAAATGCACCACTAACCAAATGTGTTCAGGGAAAACTGTTATTTATGTTAATATTAACTTTTGGTTTTCTTACTTCGTTCAGCACTACCTCGCGTATCACCAGTGGTACACATACCATAGGTTGAGAAACGCTGCTCTAGGGAAAGTGGATCTTGGAGAAATAGGATGTTGAAGTGTGACCTGGATTCTAGTGATTCAAGATGAGACTTTTATGACCATTGTCGAGAATATTTGTATTTAATAAAAGTAGGAAGTGCTCTTAACAGTCATCCAAATTAAGGTATTTACCAAAAAGGTGGTACAATTGTTTCTTATCCAGCTGAACAGCTATTAATGTTTCAAGGGAAACTGTTATTGTAACAGAACAAGCAAGCAAATAAATCATTAAATAGTACCCTTCCTCATATAAAAAATTGGAGTTGGTGCATAATGAAATGTTTCTCAACTGCTAGAATTTGTGGAACTTGAAAGAATGCCAAATAGTTCACTGTTTGGCAGGCACTGAGGTGAACCCATCATGCTAATGCACTGAAATACTTGGCAAGTTGTTTGTATATAGCGCAATTTTCAAGTACATGTAGCATTGTCAGATTTATTTCAGAATACATGACATTTTGCAAGGGCAGAGCTAAGTCTGTCATAATAATATCAGGAAGTTCAAATTGTCTATACCAAAGTCTACCCTTGTATAAAGCCAGTTTGATTCATTTCACATCATTCCAACTGATATCCTTAAAATCTTTTATAAAATTCTTCTTCCATCTCCTTTTTGGTCTCTCAAGAGATTCCAGTCCATAATTCTGTATACATTTCATATTTTTTGCATGTGAGTTGTGTCTTAGACCATCACATCCTGATGATTTTGGCTATAAGTTGTGAAGTTTCTTTTTTCCATATCTACTTTTCAGGACTATTTATGTATGAGACAGTGTAGCAGACCTTTCAAGTAAAACAGGATATGTAGTAACTCACATTACACTACACAACATTTTATTGAATCACATAATTTTTAGACATACAGATTTAGCAGAGCTATCTTGGATTCAATGTATTTGGATTATCATGTGACTTAGTTGCCCTGACAAAATTTTTCAGGGTCATCACTTGTGCATGTTAAGTTTTGAATAGAAATGGATGGAGCATTTAGCATCCATGGAAGAAACAGGAAGTGCATATCAAGTTTTCATTATAAACTATGAGGAAAGGTATCATTTGGGAGAGGCAGGTATAGATGGGTAGTAACTAATAGGTTCTTGAGTAATTTTAAGTTTCTTTCTAAATCCATAGGTTATATAGTGTCAAATTATAGAATGATGAACGAGAAGGAATGTAGAAGAAAGTGGCTATAACCTATGTAAAGGTATTATCCTAACATTTGCCTGGAGGGACTGATAAAAATTATTGAAACTTCCGGTCAAAATGCCCAGTCTCCAACCCAAGATTTCAACTTGGGACCACCTGAATACAAAGCAGGAGTGCTTAACTATTCAGCTGCAACTTTTGGCGTGTAAGAGAGATGTTAATGATCAGAATTAATCTTGGAGAAACAGGTTGTGATGATGTGAACTGGATTCATCTGGCTCAGAACAGAATCCAGTAAACATGCTTTTGTTGTAACTAATTGAATCTTTAGGTTCCTTAACATTTGAGAATTTTGTGATAAACTAAACTGTCAGCTGCTCAAGAAAGACTGTACAGTTGTGGCAGTTCAACGTGAGATACCACGTCTTTCATTGTTGAGTCTATCCTTTTGTTCTATTTTGTAGGCTGGTACCTGGTTTGGAGACTTTTTCTGTCCCGATTTCGGTTTGTACGGGAACTCTTGGGTGGAATGACAGAATCTGCTTCAGTTAGTGATTTGAAGAATGGCCGTTCACGAATAAAGAAGACACGTCGTGAATAAGGATATGTGTTGAGTTACATATTTTAAACATTCCTGGGGTAATTTTTTTAACTTTGGCAGCAAAAGTTTTATATTTTGTTCTGTTAAATTATAATTCTAAATAGTTTGCTTAAAGACTGAACAGTCAATATGAATATCAGATGTGCAAAGCCTGATGATCTCATGAACATGCAGCATTGTAACTTATTGTGTTTACCAGAAAATTACCAGATGAAATATTATTTTTATCATGGGCTGTCATGGCCGCAGTTAAGTTACGTTGCGGAAGATGAAAAAGGTCAGATTGTTGGCTACGTTCTTGCCAAGATGGAAGAAGACAGTGATGACAATCCTCATGGACACATCACTTCTCTTGCTGTGAAGCGATCGCATCGAAGGCTTGGGTTAGCACAGAAACTTATGGATCAGGCTTCAAGGGCGATGGTAGAGTGTTTCAGGGCAAAGTATGTGTCACTGCATGT